GAGCGAGAGAGAGAGAGAGCGCGAGAGAGCACATACCAGCTTCATCACTGTGTCTGTCACGGGACTCTGTTCCCCTTTCGGGCTCTGTCTTTACATTTATTTTGAAAGATGAAGCTCGCGTTTATGGTAAGGGGCGTTACATTTCCGAGGTGTGCTTGTGGTGTTCGGCCAATCACAGTGCACTGGGTCAGCTGGCCAATCAGAGCGGACTGCGCTTGTCAAAGGAGGGGGCTTTGTAGAAAACGAAGCGTTTGAGAGAGGCGGGGCATAGAGGACCTACAATAATGTACAGTATTTGAAAAATAATGTGTTTTTTGAACATTAAAGCATGTCAACATATTCTGTTACACCAAATACACAAAATAATGATCTTTAAAATAGCATCATATGACCCCTTTAACCATGTAATGATACAATCAATGTTATTCACGTCACCTATTAATGTTGTGGCTGATCAGCGTACAGTAGCTAGGACAGATCTGGCAACGATTCACCTTGAATCAATCTTTAAATATGGCTATAGATCAGGGCCGGGCAACAAAAACAGTTTGCACTGACTGGATGAGTGTAAGCCAGCAGATCGTTATTTTATGTGCTTTGTAAAATGTGCACTTCATTGGGTATTCATAAGATTAATTTATCCTCACTCAATGTACCTACAGGTACAGTAATGAAAAAATCGCAAAGAAATCAGTGGACAAAGTTCTGAAAGTTCTGTAAGTACTTGTCAATTCATTATTTATTACTCATTTAATTATTACGCAATTACAACAATTTGAATGATGTATCATTGTCTTGTTTTGTATGTAAAATTTCAGGCTCCCTTATATTACCACAATGCCTATTAAAGCGGTGTAAAGTTGATGGTGGAAAGAGTGATTCTGGACTTTATCTCCAGAAGACCATGTGCTGAGCATGTGTTGCACATACACTTTTCACAAGTAGCCCACACCAGAGGTTACTCAACTCAAACTTATTCATAAGTTCTTACACAACTAGACAGAAACATTCCTGAAACAACTACTGTAAATCAGAGCACCCAATTTACAATACAGTCTTCAATGACAAACCATTTCACAGTCTTGAGGCTGCAACAGCAAAGTCACAGTCATACCTTCATTTCAGATGAGAGCAAAGAAAGACAGAGCTGATCTGATCCCCATCAGGGTGAAGCGGAGGCTACTTATCTACTACAATGTGGGCTACTTGTGTTATCATTTAATCCATTACAGTACACAAAACAGTCGTCCTGGCAAAAAGATGAACACAGCAACAATATTACAGTACTATTAATACTGAACTCCTCCAATTTCATTTCCAATACTATAACAAAAATGCAAGATTGCAGCATCTGTGTTTGTATGAAACCAGAGAGAACAAATCCGTGATACCTGGATGAATGGTATGTTATTCAGCGTTGCTTGTTACCGGGAATAACACACCTCAGAATGTCGCAACTGCACCTTATATTGGATTCAATACTTTATCAGCAACCAGTGTAATGATGCAGGTGAGATGTGGTCTCTTTTTGTTATTTGTTAAAAGGGGTGGGCGATATGACCAAAATCCTATATCATGATATGAGTACATTTATTTCACTAAAAGTACTATAAAAGTAGTATTATGCTTTTCATTCCAAATATATAAAGATGAAGCCTGGCACGGTACAATTAAACACTATCTAAACAGACTTTCTCCCGTTCTTCTCCCACTGGTTCCCCGTCTTCCTCCAAAATAGCTCCCCATCCAAGCATCACACCACTCACTTACATAGGCACTGTCTGTCCAGAATTAAAGCACTTACAGTATTTAAAAGTGACAGTGACACTGTTATTAAAGTTTATTTAAATCACAAATAAACTGAAATAAGATGCAATGCAGTAAAAAAAGATATATATAATAATAATTATTATTATTATATTTCCCCACAATGATAAATGTGCTGTCAAATATCTTGCTCTGCATTTGGGAAAGAAAGAGCTTGGGGGTAAACAATCAGGGCTGAGCTAATTTCTTGCCTAATGTTTTCCTATTTTATCCAGATATTCCAAAGCAACTGACACAGAGAAATTTTTACATTCAGCATGATCGAGACATTTATATTTGATGATGTGTTTACTGGGGAAAGCAAAACTGAATTACCTGCATGTGTGCAATGTGCTACACAAATCAGGCCTTACCTTGCCTAACAAGAAACTGTGTTAAAACTGAATGTGAGACGAGATAAAGAATGAATGCACAGTGTGACCAGAAATATCTAATTTGTCAACGAAAGACTTGAATTGACTGACATTTACCACCGTCACTACGGCCTGAAGCTACTAATGCAGCTGGTTTACAGCACCACTCAGTGGTCAAACCACAATAGTCTGATGCTTTCTTTGTACTTCAAAACCATAAAAAAAAAAAAGTTGACCATTGCCAAAAACATGATTTGTCAAAGAGATATGAAATGAAATGGCTTTAACAGTTTGAGAAATACAAAAATGAAAGGTTTGGTTACTCACCCTAAGGAAGAACTCTCCACCATCGTTGCCAGCTTTAATCCTGAAGGTGTAGTGTGCACTGGGGAAGATGTTTGTGGCTTGAATCTGGAAGATATCTGCTGGTACGGTGCGCTCTGAATGAATGTTCATGTATTTGTAAACAATAGACTGCGACAGGCCTCGACACGCACCCGCAGACTGGCACGAACACCGGCTAGGAATGAAAGCAAGAATATTACTCTTCTATTTTTTTTCCATGCTTAAGTGTCTCTGGTCAATTTCTGTGATCTTCATCTCTAGCTCTAGTACTAGGATATAAACACAGACTGACTTACTTTTCCGACGTCAGCACGTAAGGCTCCAGACACGGGTTCTGAGGGTAACAGCGATGACCTCCATAATAGTTCCAGCACATCTCATCTTCCCTACACTCGTGGCCTGTGTCACACTCATTGATGTCTATGATACCAGAGAAAAGACTGTGATTAGCAACATATCATATCTACTGTAGTCTATATATGAGAATACAGGCCTTCCAACAGGCCAAACAACTTGCTCCACGCTCCAGGCAAAAAAACACACACAATTTTTTTTCGTGTTGAATATCCCATTTCAGTCAGTACGTTGAATTACAGAAGTAATATTGCTACTGGAAATTCAAGTGGCAAGATACACAACATAAGCTTCATCTAAACATCTTTCCCTCTGTTTAGAAGAGATAAACAGCCTTTTTGTTTCAAGTATGAAGGTAACACTTTATTTTTAGTGTTCTTGTTACACGTTACCTGCACTCTAGTAATAACGGTAAATCATGCATAATTACATACTATAGGGTTAGGGTTTGGTTTAGGGTTAGTTGTAAGTACATGTTGTTAATTAATTTTACTCAGTGCTTAAATGTATAATTAAACTGCAACAAGGACACCTTAAAATGAAGTGTAACCCATGTGAGCTCTGCATTGTTTCCATTAGCATGTGGCTGGGAATTCCTGGCCCATCTTGCTCTGATGTGAAATATCTGGGTGTGGATGGATAGAGAGGAGGCCAGGCAATGAAGGAGGAGGCCGATACCTTGACACATTCTTGTTCTCTGCAGCTGATATCCCTCTGGGCAGATGCAGGAATATCCACCCGGGCTGTTAAAACACACATACTGGCACATGTAGCTGGAGAATGCGCACTCATCGATGTCTGGACACACAGCAGAAACACAAACTCAACAAACGGTGACATTTAAACCACACTGAGGAAACACATCCATCATCTTTGTCTAAAACCAGGCTGAAAACTATCTAGCTAATGATAAAGAATTGATTGTAGGGCTGTCCAATCAAAAATTTGAACTCAAACATTTGTTGAATTTTAGATGAAAATGCACAAAATGTAAAAACATTTCAGTTTGATCGATGTTTGAGCTGAAGCTGAAGAGTGAATGAGCGCCGGTAATCTGAAGTGCTTTGCTAGCAGGTGAATTAATACACCTAAACATATCACATACATATTAAATGAGTCACAAGTCAAGTAATGAATGTGCTCTTTCTGTAAGAATAACTCTAATCACAATAAGGGGGACTTGGGGACTGATGATTTAAAACTCTGGTGTTCACTCGTCTTTCTTTCTAACTGAAATGATTTTCTCTAAAACCTAATGCACTTGGCAAGCAGAAAGTGCACTCAAACCAAGCACAGGAAGATCCAGCGTTAGCACTTACCCACACATGAGACTGAATCCGGCGCGAGTTCATAACCCTGATCACACTGACAGACATATGAGCCCAGGAGGTTGAAACACTGATGTTGGCACGGCTGAGTCAGATCACACTCATTCACATCTGAAACAAAAGCCAATTAAGGGTACGATTGCAAATGTGACGTTTTATACAACAGTTTAATAAACAAAAAGTTAATAACAAGTGACAATCCAAGAACTCCTAGTTTGTAATTGAACTGTTCCTGAATTTTCACAGTTCCTGTTGGTTACTTCTTGCGTTAGATCTGTTTCCTTAGCAGCTTATTATGTTCACCTGTGTCTAGTTTAGTTCATCATTATCCTGTGTGTAATAGCTCTTTATTTTTTCAGTTGTCTTTTGCAAGTTCTTGTTTTGCTATGTTAAAGGTAGTGTAGGCAATTTTTTCCAGAAATATTTTTTTGTTGAAAGTCTGTTCACATCCTGATAGCAATGAATAATTACAGCAGGTTAGGAAGTAAATATATATATTTGCATACCTACACACTGCCAATAGAGAGAGTTTGGGGCGTGGCTACTTTAACAGGCTGACCAGAGATTGTTTAACCGATTTTCAAAGAGCACGCCAAAATACACAGAGACAGATGATGGGGTGAAACAAGGGTAAACACTGGCAGTACTGTTAAACCCCGTTCACACCAAGAACGATAACTATAAAGATAACGATATTAGCGTCCACACCAGCGAACGATATCGTCTGTTTATTCTAAGCGCACATGCGTCTGCCGCTTTAAATTCTCAAGCTCGTTACAGCAGGATGGATTCTGACTGGCTGTCAGTGTTTTATCGTTCATCAGCTGGAAAAAAATCGTTTTGAAAGTGATCACAACGATATCGGTCCGTGTACGTTTTGATCATTTCATCTCCTATTTGGAATGCAATAACGAGAAATGGAAAAACGGCTCGTTTATTC